CCTCCCGGCTCATTTTTTTTTTTTTTTAAATGGGAAAGAATGATCATTGAAAGAAAGAGACTAGTTTAAGAATGGTGATAAATAACTTCTGGATATACTCAGTTTTATGAAATATAAGCAAAAACTAACTACCTTCACTAAAAGCACAAGTGATTTGAGCTTCACTATAATAATGGCCCTTAAGAAAAAAATGATACATTTTACAAAGAAACAATGTAGTTCATTGACACTAGTTAAGTTACCCTGTATCCAATTAACAATGTTTGACCTTGCCAAGATTCTTGGCCGTTTTGTTAACTTAAATTAAGTTGGGAAAAAGCATAATAGTAATTGAAAAAGCAACTAATTATAAGTAATTATAAGCCAAATTATATTTATACCACAATTAGTGTTTGAGGTGGTTTAGCAGGCAGTCTTGGTTTCAATAAGCAACCATCAAATAATTGAATAGCTTGTAAAACACAGAAATAGTCCTTTAATCTTTATTCCAACTACAACCACATCCTCCTTGAATTACTATTATAATAAATAAATCACATTTATTATATTTTGTTCTAATCCCCAGTTTAAGTTAGATGTTTTTAAAAATATGGCAAAAATAGTATATGTACCCACCTCATCACACAGCTTAACACATTTCATGGAGACATGTGAACCCATGCTCTTGTAAGAGAAGAGCTAGCCTTCAGGGTACATACAAAGCAAATTTCAGCAGTGTTTTCAGTGGAGTTTTCACTAATGATAATAGGGAAAGGTCACTTTGTCTTTCGACAACAATAGTTTTTTAATTTTACAAGATTGGGGAATTCCCCCCTCCCCCAGTATTCTCAAGTAACTAATAACTTTGTTACTATCTTTTGCTACTTAAGATAAAAAGCCAAGGCGGGTGGTGGCGGCGGCGGTGCACACCTTTAATCCCAGCACTCAGGAGGCAGAGGCAGGCGGATCTCTGAGTTCGAGGCCAGCGTGGGCTACAGAGTGAGTTCCAGGAAAGGTGCAAAGCTACAGAGAAACCCTGTCTCGAAAAACAAAAAATAAAAATAAAATAAAATAATTCAACCCTTAATTTATACTTTAGTTTACTAGTAAAAAGTCTTGGATACCTGTTTATACTATTATTATATATCCGTGAAAATCCTTCTTAGGCATTTGAGAAAGCACTGTAAATTTTCGGGCGTGGGGAGTGGTTGAGAGACTTTCAATTAGTTTCATCCCTTTAAGAACAGTCCAAGAAAAATATTATCAAATAGCCTCGTGTTATACTTAATAAAGCTAGTTCCTGGAAAGTTTTGCAAACTACATCTCCACCAGTTGACCTAATGGATCACGGGTTGATAAAGGTGGCTGCTGCACTCAGCCAAGTCTTAAGCGAGGCGAGGCACACGGTGGGAGGTAGGTAGCGCCCGAGCCCTCCAAGGCTGGGGCGCCACGTTGCTCTTCTCTTTTGAAATAGGAAGACAACGCTTCTGGCTATTGTGTAAACCCGTCGAGAGCGGCATTCATTCTCACATCAGATAAAAGCAGGAGCAGAATTAAAGAAAGCGCTTTCCAGTCCGACCCCCGGCAACACGTACGTCACCGACAAACGTTAAGTTGCATTCATTGCCTTGGCTGCGTTCGTCTCGAAAAAACACATGAAAGAATGGCTTAAAAGAACCCCCCCCCCAAAAAAAAAAAAAACAAAAAAGCAAAACAAAACAACAAAACCCTCGGCTGAAGCGGGGGAACTCCATTGGATCAAAGCCACCACGCCAACCCAGCAGTGGCCACCGCCCCCGCCGAGCCCCGCAGACGCCCCTCAAGGCTCCCTCTTGTTCTCTGCTAACCGGCTGTACGCAGCGTGGGACAGCCTCGTCTAACTCCCGCTCGCCCCAACAGTTCTCCAAGCCAGCCCAGCTTCCCAAGTCCCCAGCCGGACAACAGTGCGGTCTCCCGCTCTAGGGGACAGCGGCCGCTCCATCTGCAACCAAGCTGCAAATCCCCTGCACTCCCAGTAGGCCCACCGCCAGCCAGCCGGCGCTCGGCGACGTCTGACTGACACGGAGCTGGGCCTATGGGGCCCCGAGGGCGGGGCGACGCGTCACTTCCTGGCCTGCCGGGGAGGATGCCTTATATAAGGTCTGCGCTCACGCAGAACCCTCGCTTACACAGTATGGCCGGCGACATTAGCTAGCGCTCGCTCAACTCTCTCTAACGGGAAAGCAGCGGACTACAAGAGACTGAACTGTATCTGCCTCTATTTCCAACAGACTCACATTCAACTTTCGCTCACACACACACACACACACAAAAAAAATAGCCGGGAAAATTTTATTAGTCCTTTTTTAAAAAAAAAAAAAAAGTTAATATAAAATTATAGCAAAAAAAAAAAAAAAAGGAACCTGAACTTTAGTAACACAGCTGGAACAATCCGCAGCGGCGGCAGGAGCGGCGGGAGAAGAGGTTTAATTTAGTTGATTTTCTGTGGTTGTTGGTTGTTCGCTCGTCGCACGGTGATGGAAGCTGCACATTTTTTCGAAGGCACCGAGAAGCTGCTGGAGGTCTGGTTCTCCAGGCAGCAGTCCGACGCAAGCCAGGGATCTGGGGATCTCCGCACCATCCCAAG